GATCGCTGTTTTCTCGTTTTCTACTGTTTCAGTTGGCGGCACCAGCAGCGCAGCAAACATATCACTGCCCCCCCTCATCGTCTCTTCTCCCCCCAGCTCGCCCGGCGGCACCTCCATCTCTACAGGGCTGACGGTATCTAGGACGCGCAGCGCAGCGTCTGTTGCAGTGTCTTTCTTTCCCCAGGTTTTTGCTGATGTCCTCGCTGCTGCTGCTGCTGCTGCTGCTGCAGCAGCAGCAGAAGGAGAAGAAGAGGAAGAGGTAGAAACTGCAGAAGTAGAAGCAGATGCGGTGTCNGCAGCAGCAGCAGAAGGAGAAGAAGAGGAAGAGGTAGAAACTGCAGAAGTAGAAGCAGATGCGGTGTCGTTGGTGTCACTGACAAGCATAACGCGAGAGAAAACTGCTGCGTCGCTGCCCGAGTCTATCAGCCCCAGACAGCCCCACTGCTGCCCCTGCATCCACCCGATGCCTCTGCAGCGCTGCAGGGACAGCCAGAGGGGTATCTCTTTTATATCAGGGGGCGAGGCCCCCCCCTCCTTTCCTGTTGCCGCTGGAGCCCCCATCGTAGCCCTCAACACCAAACCCTAAACCCTAAACCCTAAACCCTAAACCCTGAAGTCACTGACGCCCCTCATCCCCTTAACCACCCACAGCTGTGTGAAATCCGCTGCAAAGCCCCAGAAGTAACCACACGCCGGCATCACCTCTGGGTCGGCATCCACGCCGTCTGTTGCTGCGTTTCGTTCTACTTTTGTATTGCGTTATACTGCGTTGGGCTGTGTTGCGATGAGGGTGTGATTGGCTGCATCCCGTGAGTAATAGGGTAAGATATTCTGATATATTTTGCGTTGGCTTCGATTAAGTTTATAGAAGGACTGTATAAAGGGTCGATCGAGGGCCGGGGCGGTGGTGAGCCACCGGTGGCGGTGGGTGATACCGCGAAATTAGATGAGATGAATTGGCCCGGCTAGAAAGAGATTCGGCTTGTTTTTGATTTTATTTTCTTATATAATAAAGTATTTATAATATATTCTTATATTATTATTTAGGATTATATTAAGTATACGAGTCCAGCAAGCCCCCACAAGTGCATGCGAAGAAAGCTACGATGAAATCATATGGGCTGGAGCTCTCCATAGTCAACAAATATTCATATAGAATGCATATTATATCCTAAATATACTACAAATATATATATTACGTTTTATTGGAGCTCTATCCCCAATATATACTGGAACTGTTGCGCAGACTAGGCCTTAAGGAGCATTCAGATACTGAAAGGCAACATATATCCTGATGAAGACGCTAGCTGTGCTGAAGAATTTATCAACTGACAGACGGTGAACTGAGCAATACAAACAAAATGCTACCACATCCGTGTCTATACACCCCGTGACGCTCGTTACGCTATAAAACCTCTCGCTAGCTATCAGCACCCCCCCCAGCTAGTCAGTCACCCCGCAACGCAGGAAGAGAATACATACTAACGTCCCTCGTATATACAAAGAAAACACTCATACCCACCTCGTTGTATCATCGCATCAGACACCTGACTTCTGAGGCGGTTGAAGCAGCAACAGCCAGGCAGCTTCGTCCCCTTCCTACACAACCCAGTGCTACCCGTTAAGCCTTTCGGTGGCTTGAGTGTATCATATAAGCGTTTTTGTACAGCTCAGTCATTCATGGTATGCCAATTATATACGTATAAAGCATATATAGAGATATGTGTCTATACATGTATCTATGTTCATGTGCTAATGCAAGTGTGTATACGTATAGTATATATACACCTATAAGCATATCTCCACCAAGTTCACTGTGCAGCTGCGCAATCTATTGTTTTGGGTTGAAATGACTTTAATTCGTTCGATAGAACAAAACTCAAAGAAGAGATGCATGCGATTCGATTGCGTTAAGGTGTATATGAAGGCGCATGCGATGGAAACAAACAGAAAACTGTTGTGTTGTATGCTGCACCCCCCTATCACCAGACAGCAGACTGACTATAGACGTGCTGTGTCATTCTATCTGGAGCTGCACAGCACTGCAGCAGCGGCTGCTGCAGCGGCTGCTGCAGCGGCTGCTGCAGCGGCTGCTGCAGCGGCTGCTGCAGCTGCCTCTCTGCATCCCCAGCAGCAACAGCAACACAGCAGACGCCCACAACTGGGCATTCCCTGTTGTGAAACAAAGATGAACCCACATACCGCTGCTGCCACGCTTTTTCCTCCCTCGGGTGTACAGACAGACACACAAACTGCAGAACAAAGAAAGCGTTAAGCAGAAACAGCCAACGCAACACCGCATGCAGCCAAGTAGAAGAAGTCAGAAGTAGTCGACCGCTGCCATCCATCCCCCATTTAATTTCCACCGTTTCACCAGAGAGACCAATGGTCCACACGCCCTGCTGCTACTGCTGCTGCTGTTGCTGCTGAGGTCCAGTGGTCAGGGTTGTCAGTGATGAAGAGTTGCATGCGTTGTTTTAACAAACACGTTGACTCTGCTGCAGCAGTAGCTGCTTGTAAAGCTGCAGCTTCTTCACTCTAAGAACCAAAGAAGGCGGTTGTTTCGCTGTCGCTGCCGGTTGAGCTTCAGCAGCTGCTGCCTCTCAACAAAGGCATCTCCTGTCTGCCCCCACCACAGCCGCTCCAGCTCTGCTGTTGCTGCTGCTGCTGCAGAGCCAGCTGTTCCTACTCCCACTGCACCTGCATGCCCGTCTTCGTCTCCTACAGAGTCATCTTCTTGCACGCAAAATACAGAAGCAGCAGAAGCAAGGGCTACAGATACACCAGGCATCGGCTCGGATGCAGCAGATAGTGCAGCAGCAGCAGCAGCAGAGAAAGCCTCCGACTGTGTTTCGCTGCCGCATACACGAGATATTGTAGGGGCTCTTGCTGCTGCTGCTGCACTTGCTGCTGCGGCCTCCTGGCTGTGCAGCACAGACCCCACACCCCAGAACTTGCACTTGGCTCCAACACGCAGGGCGTGCTGCAGCCACAGGTCAGCTGCTCTCAGAGCTTCATCTGACTCAGCTGTCAGGTCTGCTGCATGCGTTGCATGCGCAGACATGTATAAGGAAACGTCTTCACGCGCCTCCCGCAACCTAAAATAAAACACAAACAAATACACCAAATCCATACACCGAAAGAATCTCACACACTATACACTACACAAACAACGGTGTTCGAGTCATATATGTAATCTATATATATATATATATATATATACATATATATATATATATATATATATATATATATATATATATATATATATATATATATATATATATAGTACATCGGTGGAGATGGGTGTGGGTATGGGGGTGACCAGGAACAGCATTCATTGCAACAGCCGTCGAGTATACGATGAAAAGCAGCAGCAGGAACAGCAGCAATATCAGCAGCAGCAGCAGCAGCAGCAATAGCGAGAGGAGAAGCAACAGCAGCAGCCGCTGGGTTAGCAGCAAGACTCACTGAGCGTGGAGACAGGCCACTGCTTCGACGTAGCTTTCTCTCTCTTGCTGCAGTCCCTCAGCTAGTCTGATGAGTTGCTGCTGCTGCTCAACACTCTTCTGCAGCAGTTCCGGCCGCGGATACGTCCCCGATGCGATGCATGCATGCAGCTGATGCAGCCAGTTGTAGGGCCCCTCTGCGCTGCTGCAGGTGCTGCTCGCTGGGTTGCCGTTGGAGTCAGCGAGCTGCTGTGGGGCGCCGCCGCTGCTGTTGCTGCTGCTGTTGCTCCACTGCTGCGCGGGATCCTGCTGCCCTGCTGCCTCCGCCTCAGGTTGCTCTGCAGCTGTTGCTGCAGCAAGCTGATGCTGCATGCGTTCCTGTCGTCGCTCGTCTTCCGACTGCTGCAGCGCCTGCGTCAGCTGCTGCTGCCGGCACTCCAAGTCCTGCAGAGACCCAGCACACGCACCCAGCAGCAAACACTCTGCGCTATGACGTGGAGTGCTGCAGCACTGGTGCCCCGACAGAGATAAGCAGGGCTACACCGTAGTGCTGTGATAGAAGATATTGCATGTAAGGAGACACAAAGGTCTATATCACCATCAACTTCTTTTGTCTCTCTTACCTTGAGTTCCTCTTTGGCTGCGCCGAAGGCTGCTTTGTACAAGTCGCGCTCCGCCAGCAGCTGCTGCAGCAGCTGCTGCAGTTCACCACTGCCTGCTGCTGCATCTACAGAGGAAAGGGCATTGATGAGCCCCCTCAGCTCGCCTCCAATAGATGTGCTGCTGCAGCAGCTGCTGCCGCTGCTCCCACGTTGCAGCTGCTGAGCCGCAACACTGGAGACTGCATCAGATGACACGGGGGCCGGAGGGGCCCCACACGCGTCGCTGCCGTCGCCCTTGTTGCCTTGGGGGCGCTTCAGAGTAGCAACATGAAGCGCAAGGCCACTCGGGTGCTGCACATGCAGCAGCTGCTGCTGCTGTTGTTGCTGCTCACTGTGCGGAGCTGCAGTGTCTGCGGAGCCCGAAGCAGTAGGCCGTTCGGGACGTGCCTCTGTACAGTGTACAGGGGACTGAACGTCTCGCTCGAGTTTCTGCTGCTGCTGTTGCTGGTGATGATGAGGCTGCTGATCATGCTGTTGCTGGCTGCTGGATGGAAGAGACCCTTCTGAGCCTGAAACGCAAGTCGAAGCGGCGGCGTCTGGCGTAGAGTCCCACGGGGCAGCAACAGCAAGCACGGGCTGAGACTTCCCCGCTGCAGCAGCAGCAGCCCCTACATCTTCCACTGCAGATGAAGCTGCTGGTAACACAGCAGCAGAAGAGGCAGCAGTAGGCCCTGAGGGGAGTGGCCTTTCATCAGACGGGTCGTTCATGGTGTCCTGCAGCAGCAGCGCAGCGGCCTGACGGCGCAGCAGCAGCGGCTTGAGGGAATGCGTCCGCAGTGGCGTAGAGCAGCAGCAGAAGATAAGCCTTTGGCCCCGGAAGGTACTTCAGCGCATTCATGAAGCGACTGAATGAGGAGAGTTCACCTGCAATGTGGATGAACACGGAACATGTGGTCGTCGCCTGCAACCAGGGCAGCCGTGCGGCAATGGGGGGGGAAGCGAAATTGGCCTCTGCTTGAATAGAGGTGTAGAAAAAAGAAAACACAAAAAATCAAAGAACGATAAAGAATAACAACTCACGAGCGAATCTGCAAACCGCAGCAGGGCTCCTGTGCATGTGACGCAGGTTGACCCATGGGTCTCGTCATAAAAAACGCTTGTTTTCCCTCTTCGAGCTTCTTCGATGTAAATCTCATAATTATAAGAAAGGAGGGTCTGAAGAAGAATTCCTTTTGCAACAAGTTGAAGCCCCATGCCTCAGGTTTCAGCAGTAGAGGAAACCTGCACCGCAGACAGGCGCCGTCGACTAAGGCCCCAGGCCGTAGGTAGCCACCGCGAATATTCAGGAAATGCCAAGCAATACAACAAATATAAAAATCTGGATGACAGCTTATTTCCTTTTCTTTACTATTAAGCAAAGGCGCACGAGGGAGTCGCTTTGACGCCCTCTACTGCATTGAACAGGCCAACTCTGTAGTGAGCTTAGCCCAGCTCGGCTCCTACAGCTGATTCCCTGAGTGACTAAGACATATAAATCCCTGTCTCTACACAGTATGCCAAAGATACATAGATTAAAAAGCACCAAGACTTATTCTCAGGCTTGTAAGTTCCTCTGAAAGAAAGATCTCCCCCTTTCCGGTGTACGGATGACCTAGGTGCCGTCTGTTTTATTACCTTGAGCCCAACCACAGGGACACCCAGGTATACTCCGTATGCTGGAATTTATATATGATATAGTTTCATCAGTCGATATGATTTTATCTGAACGGTAACTGTTTTTGGTTGCACTATGTGAACTCGATCTGTTCTTCCGGCTCAACACTGCTGCGCAATACAGACAGTGGACAGACAGTACCTGCAGCCAGTTCGATGGACTTCTGCACAGATACTTTGCTCCTAATATACCGGTAGTTCAGTGCCTTACCTTTTTAAAATAACTCTCCCCCCATATCAGGGATCCGTCTCGCGTTCCATGCTAGCCAGAGGCTGATGCGCTTCGCTGCAAAGCCCTTCGCCCTGTCTCATTTAGATAACTCTGCGCCGTCACCTCCCACAATCGAATGTAGGCAAGAGCGGGTTCTGTGGCCTTTTTTTGTCTGAACTGTCAGAGAAGAAAGCAAACCGGATATACCTCCTGGTTGCCTCAAGCCCTGGGGGTCAGTTTCCCTCCTATTCTTAGCTGTTGTAGGTGTTTTACTCTCACTTTCTACAGTGGCAATCCGCGCACAAACAAATCAATCATCCTTGCGGTGCAAAGCAACTCACGTTTTGAAATTCGAATTGGTGTCCGTCTCGGGGCGATTCAGGGGAGATGCTGCCTATCCCTGGTCGACTAGGAAAAGCCCCAATGCCGTCTAAAAGTGGATTGAGTTAATTATATTTATGTACACCATATGCATGCGCCTTTATACAAAGTCACTCGCAACTCCTCGAGGTTGAGCAACTCCAACTTAGCCCTACCGTCCCCTAGACTTTAGTATGTTTGTACTTCTCGAGATATCAACCAATTTGAAACCTTTCCTAAAAGGCAGAGGCGTCAGTTATCCTAAGTGAAGCCACCTCCACTCCGTTTGCATCGATCATAATCACCTTGTAAAGAGGATCCCCTTATAGCTAAATAAAATAGCTTCAAAACTTAGTCACCCAAAAATTGCGGGATTTGAACGCCGCATTTCAGACTGAAAAAACTGAAACTAGATAACCTCAAGGAATGAAATTTCGTCATTTGCGGCGGATGAGGCAGTTTATGGGCATTCTTTAATTCACGCAGTTGCAAGCAAGAGCGGCAACTATCAACGGTGCTGTTAAAGAGAAAAGAAAACGCATCCTTATTGTATTGAAGGCGTTAAACTGTTGCAAGAAATACTGAGTATAATTAGGCGCAAAAATAAGTTGACTTACTGCACTAAACTACGTCCTCATGGCGCATTTGCCACAGTTAATGTTGATGGATGCCGGAGGCGGTGACGCAGCTGCTTCGTGACCATCTCCCTAGTTCATCTATAGTTATCGAGGGTACAATGAGTAACTTACGCAGGGGAAATGTACAAAAGATGCCCGCGTGTTACCTTATATAACACGGAGATACGGATGTATGCGCACTGTCCCATTCGTGGGTTTCTTGCCAAGTAAAACTACTACAAATGGTGCTGCACGAAACCTAACCGCAGCATTCAGCTGCAGCTAGCTGTAGCTAGCCCTAGGAGAAGTGCTTGGGGTGATGATTCGACAGCAAGCATCGTCTCCGTCACATTGCAGGAGCATTGTGTTTTGCCTTTTGGTTTATATTCTGCGCGCGATACAACGCGTGTGCTGCTGACGTGCCCAAATCACATTGTTGCAGTAAAGCTAGTCTTTCTCCCCTGTAGGCGTGCCTCTAGAGTCTAGTATTACTTACTCTGTTCGCTTCAGCAAAGTTCGCATCAGCCTGTACACCCTTCGTGGGTGGCATATTACCGTGTTGCTGTTATACGTGGATTGCACTTTGAAGCAAACAAGCGCATCGAGCAGCTTAGCTATACAGCTGTGCATGTTCTCTCCTTCTCTGTATCTATATATATATATATATATATATATATATATATATATATATATATATATATATATATATATATATATCGAGGACGTGGGCAGGGGCTGGCTTCTTTATATCAATCCGAGCCCCACTACTGAAATATGCGTGGCTTTCTTACTGCACTGCGAATGCTTGCAAGTCAGCACCAGAGAGAAATCTGCCAGTGGATTTCTTCCCCGCCAACGCAGGAGACTAATATCCAGCTCCTGAGCATTCGTTTCCAAGGCCTTTCCCTCGCGATAGTATCCTGTCGCAGCATATCCGCTATAACGTTGTCCCCTTCTGCCTGTGAAGCAGAAGTGGGTATGTTTAGGTCTAGCAACACTCTGAACCACAGACCCTAAACATTAAACTCCTTAAAAAAATGATTCAGTTTCGCGTACGGTTTTGGTACACTGCACTACAGCGGCCATGCTGGCGAAGACTATTCGCTCTTCTTGCCAATAAAACGGCTGCAGGGCTCTGCTGGCAGACTGCAGCATCTCTGGCATGAGATGTACAGAATCCATCGCACCCAGGGAGGTGGCCCCTTCTTACGACCCAGCGTATCCCTTTCTTTTGGATGAAGACGTTAACGCTGCACCTCCTGCTTGCTGCTGACGGGCGTTAGTGGTAGCCGTGCACGCGCTGCTGCCAGCTTTGGCCTTGACTGAACCAGTGGCTGCAGGAGAACCGGCCTGTGGTTGCATCGTGCGCACACCCACACACCACAAAACACAGCTACATCCCACCCCGCCACCGCGACAATACTCTGCCATGTCATCTCAGTCTTCAATAGGCTTTGAATTTGTCAATAGACGCCTCACAGGCTTGGCAGACTTGGAAGTGGCCTTGCGTCGACGACGGCAGCAGAAGATGCACAAGCCGAGTAAACTCAGAAGAACCACCAGCAACGCCACAACAATAGCAATTCCTACGCACCCCGAAATCACAGATGGCGTAACCGTCGCTTGCTCGCGTCACACAAACGAGTAAACCTAAGCCTAAGCCGTGTCCAATTGAAGAAGAGAAGGGGATGAGACACGAGAATGCGACGCTTTGCATTTCGATATGATGTATCATCAAATGACAGACAAGAAGGAGGGTTTTTAGTCTAGAAGTTGAGCATAGACAAAGTAGGTTGTCTAAGAGAACGTGAATATACCCTCCGCGGGGCGTGGTGGAGGCACGTCGTACCCGTTACCGGAAACTGGTTTTTTGAAGGCGTCGTCTCCTTCTCTACAACCAGTGGCGCTGCGCATCAAACCATTCGTATGCTGCCCTGCAGACCATTTGTTGCTGAAAGATGTTGCTGAGGCGAATGCCGAAGCTACGTTGCACAAACCGAATTTGTAGCATCTATACTGCAGGGAAGGCGAAGGCCATTCGATTCCTTTTCCATGCTCTCACCCTTGGGAATGTCGTACGAATGATCATGCCGACGGACAACCACGCGATAAGCAGGGGGTGTCGACGTCGAAGTGCTGGTAGTAGAGCTTGAAGCGGGTAGCTGCTGGGGCTTCCCTGCATAAATTCCGCACAAAGAGAATGTGCTCGCCTTCAAACAGTCTTCTGCAGTGACGAATCTCGGAAAACTTTCAATGCAAAACCTAGCACATTTAGCAAAGTATAAGTTGTTTGACAGCTTTTTAGCTAGGACCGCTTCCATGTTAAAATTTAACGCTGTCCATCCCATCATAGAGAGCGTTTTCCGCGCACCTCCTGAAACTCTTATATGTTGAATATATTTAACTCTTAACTGCACTGCAGATGTTGAGTGTATTTAGCTTTCATATGCACTGCACACCGCATCTCTACAGTTGCTAGAAGATCATTAATAACCTGTTTCGGGGTTTCGAATGGGCCAAAAGTCCTTAGCAAGCTCCGGAAGCTTTTCGTTCAATTTTCCTTCCTCAAACGCCAAAAGAAAACTCTTCAACTGCTCAATATGTTCTTTTCTATCAGGAGTTGCAGGCCTGCAGGAAGTCAACGGTTCCGTTTATACGTGAGCAGTTAGCTTAAGCTGTGCCTTTGAATACTTCGAATATGCCGAAAATTCCCAAGTGATAATCTCTGGGGCAACCGAAGGAGCAGCTGACTGCACTGGTCCACCCTGCAACTGTCACCATACGTCATTCGGATTATTGTCCCGTCAGACGTCGTGTAGTACTTGGCCACCTGAAGAGCTCTAGGGTCTTTCATCTTCATTGCTGAGGCAACTGCATCGCGGACATTCAGTAGCCGTCGTTCAAATTGACTTACACTCTGCAAAAGCAAACACCGGAGGACGAGCCAGAACGCCAGCTATAGGGAACGAATGGGCTCAACTTCAAAGGGAATGCAGGAATTTGTGGCAGAGCTGGTTATTCTGAGTGCATAGAGGAATATGCCACGGCACTTTGGCCTCAGTATAGATGCATAGCGGTTAAGGATCAAGTTACACTATGCTCACACTTCTCAGCTCCTCCAACCACTTAAAGTTGCGAAGCTTTATCCACAATTCCGCTTCTTGCTCCCATTCTGCATCGACCCCTGCAATTAACAGAGCACAAACGCGTAGGCCAAGCTTTCCAATATACACCGAACAGTGGTTTGAGCCAGCAATAAACGCAGTGGAATCGTGCGTAAAACAAATAGATGAAGTATGACATGTGATATGGTGAGAGAAGAGTATTTAAATCCAGCCTTCACAGCGTCAACAAACCTGGGCGTTGCCATACTGTGGGAAGGATTTGGAAAGAGACGTCGTTGAGCACCCCTGGTAAGCCGGTGACGATGGGTTCCAGGTGCACCTGCACCGCAAGGAAGACGAGAAAGAGCTTAAAATATTCATTGGTTGTTCTGAGTCGCATCTAGGCAAGATTTGGCTTCCGAACACGTGAGACAGCATTGCTTTCTTTGTCACGCGCGCAGACCTTTCTGCTTCCGAAACGCCATTCTCCAAATGCATCTTTGGAGTGTTCGAACATTTCTCGCATTTGACCCAAGATGTCATGAGACAGAATGCCGCGAATCCTGAGAACGTTGGTACAGGAAACTGCACCGGCGGAAATGCCATTTCTTTCTCCGCTAGCGTTCCATAAGCAGAGGAGCATTTGGGCAAAGCCTGACGCTAAGATGGCATATCGGTTTACTGCTTCTTGAAGTGTTGAGGGCGCAGTGTGCTGCTAGGTAGCTACTTGCCAGGAAACAAATAATAGTAATGATAGTCATGATGTATGCCCATCCATGCTTCGGTTGAACTCACGTGAATGTCCAAATAGTGCATCTTGTTGGTTCGCGGTCGTCGGGTCTCAACTGCAGAGGCACGACTCTGTGTGGCTCAACCGAAAATGCCGTTGCCACACGCTCGATGGCTTCCTGGAGGAAAATCTGCGCTTCATAGTAATGCTGGTGATGATAAATCACCACAGCATAGCACAGCAGACAGTACTCGCCGTGTTCCTCCCGTACGAGAACGTTAGCTTTGCCAGCGTAAACCCTAAGTGCTATGGAGACACGCCCGCAGCGGCCCACTACATATCCCTGAATGATGCCCTACTATTGCAAAGTCCGCGAGAGACACGTTGAGCAGTTTAACTCCTGGCGCTCCAGCAGCACCTTGCAGCCACCTCCTTGTTATGCCAGAAGACAGTCGGCCAACGCCGAGGCGAGCCCTGTAGTATTTACCGGCGTGCTGCATTGCTGCAAAGAAAGTTAGGCCGCGTTAACTGAGCAAATTTATGTTTTTTGTGTTCCAATTGATTTCTCATCTGCTCGCAAGAGATGCAACACGCGTCAGAGGTCCTCTGAGTTGAATTTGCCCAGCATTCGACGCTGAGGGACGGACCCTGATGTCATTGAAACCCCAGTCTTGAGAAAGCCACCCAAACTTAGTTGGCTTATTAATTATAGTTCTTTGCCGTATTAACTCGTGGCTGCGTCTAACCCCCCATTCGGCGGGGTCGTGTTGCATTGCACGGTTCCGAAGAAGGCAAGTACTCCTACCGCGAAGGCTCGAGCAACAGACTACGATGAATCTGAACCCCCCTCCTTCTGCTCGCACTTGTGGCTTTCTGCAATATATGGATGGTAATGGGCCTCTGATTGGCCCGTGTTTCCCGCAGGAGTCGTTCCTAATAATAGGTTTCGCCGAGACGCTCCCGAGACGTGACCTCTGCTGCCATTCGGCCTGCCCTGCCTTCAAATTGATTGAAACACACAGTCTAAAAACTGATATGAAGTGCAAACAGTAGCAGACACCCTTGTCAAACAGTATGAGATCACCGCATCCATACGCATATGCCGAATGGAAAGCGTCAGGCGCAGCATGCGGCCTATGACGGCCGCCACTAAAACGTTTCTATGAGTCAACCGCGAACTAAGAATGGCTTAATAACGAGAGTGATGCTCGAAATCAAATTATGCAAGGTGTTTTACAGTTTCCTTCTCAATACACTTAGCTTCAAGTTCAGACAGTGGCAAGTGTTCATGGTGAACGTGGCGTAACTCTACACGCTGCAGCGGTCAAGACCACCGCAACGGTTGTTGTGATTAGGCGATGAGCAACTCTGCTCTATCCCGTTCTAAGAAAGCAAAGTAAATCTACAAAGCCAACACAATATCGAACAAACAGAAAAAATAAGTGGCGTTGTCTCCACCGCAGCCGCCCCTGTCTAGGCTGAGCTTGGCACTGTCCGGATCCCGTTCAACGGCAGCGTGTAAACACGAATGGCTGAATATTCTCACGATTCATGTACAGTTGATTTTCCTAGAGTATATGACAAATTGAACAGCAATTAACCTATATTGTCTCCGGTTGCATGCCAACGTCGATTGCTGCTGGCCAGCCAGCGCAATATGCAGCCGTGAGCCGTGCCCATTGCCCAAGGGGATGCGCGTTTGCTTAGCTGTTAAAGAAGCCTCAAAATCGGGTGTTAAAAGTGAAAACACATTTTGCATTTCACTGCAGTTTCCTCTTCCACTTTCTCCTGCAGCGGCTGCATGCCAATGCCCACTCTCAACCGCTGAGCTCGACTCAGGCGGCCCGTGAGACGCTAACGATGACGCTGCACCTTGTCCGCCAGATTCTCCGGGTTTATCTTCTCTCATTGTAGATGAAAGTACTTTTCATTGAACCAAACAGCATTCTTCCTAGGCTTTTAGGAGCCAACATCAGTCCCGAGCAGTAGCCTCACGGCGGGCGCTAACGAAGCAACACGCCGATAGCTCGATACACCCAATAGACCAGCGGGCTGAACCTGCCCACATGCCGCAGCTCCTAGATAACAAAACACTGTGAGCTGCGTCTGGAGGTCATACTCCCTTTAACAAGACAAGGTGGCGTGGAGCTGCAGGCCAGTGCCGTCTGCACGTAGGAACTGCAACGATGGACTCTAGTGTACCTGCTGCGGGTTCTCAGCAACCCGGGGGCTCCCTGCAACCACCTCTGCCTGGAACGGATGTAGGGGGTTCAGGTGGGCCTACGGAGCAACAGTGGGCCAGCTGCGGCCCCAGCAGTGGTCTGGTGCCCCGGCGGGCGCCCGAGCAGATCGTTGTGGGGGAGATACGACAGAATTTGGATGACCTGAAGTCCTCTATTCTCAGTTACTACAGCCGTTTGTACGCACAGCCAGGAAAATCTATCGAAGAAAGGCTCGACGCGCTGGCAGCACCGCCCTTCTCCAACACAGTGAGAACAGGGCGGTTACCGCCTGCGGACTTCACTCCCAGCCGTTCAAAGAAGCAACAACCATTCACTGCATTTCCGCCCCCCAACACATGCTTTGACTTCCTTGAAGAAGAAGGAAAAGGTCGGTCATGCACTACAGGATGCAAGTAGTACACACACGCAGTTCCTGTGAAGGGATTCATGCCTATAGGACATTGTACATTTTTCTCGAAGGCGTTTGGCGTTGTTTAGAGCTTGTTGGTCTCCTGTACAGTAGTGAAGTGCCGCTGTTGCTGACTCCTGTTGCATCAGGTCCTGGTAAAGCTACAACGGAGACGGATCCTTCTGCAGCACAGAAGACGTTTTACGGGATTTCGCAGCTACCCGGCCAGAAGGCAGGCCCAGATATGATGGGCTATGACAATTTGCTGGGGCGCAGCTTAGACGAGGCGCGTGGAGGCCAGATAAACGAATTATTACAAGATCTGCGGTCGAAGTGCACTGCTGCATCCACAAGGCTGAATACGATATCTGACCAGCTCGAGAGGGAGTGTGGAAATCCTGACCTTCGCGAATGGGAATACACGACTTACCCACAGGTTCGTCTGTCTGTTAGAGTCATTATTTTCACTGCAGATTCCGAGTCTTACTGCCTGGCCGTGCTGCACAGCTTCGTGTTTTCTGACTCTCCCTGTTCACTACGGGCCGCGGTTTTGATCGGGAAAGGCATTCAGCTACTGCCTCCACATGTAGGTGGTGCTTGTTGCAGGTTCGCCGTCACCCGTATCTTGGGCGGGACCCGGAGTTGAGGCGGCATCTGTTGACCATCTATCGCGAACTTTGCCACCAGTCGCAAACAAACCAGTTGCGAATCAGTGCAATCAGGAGCAAGCTTAAAGTGTTGAACATCAACACCCAGTCCGACATGATCAAGTTGAAGTCGGACCCACGAATTGCATTTTGATGTATACATAAATAAATATATATATATATATATATATATATATATATATATATATATATATATATATATATATATATNTATATATATATATATATATATATGCTTGTAGGGTGTGGAAATCGGCAGAAGAGCAGTGGCACCAGCGGCGCTTAGCTTAGCTGGCTCCGCGCTGACCGAACTCCAACTCATGGCGCGTATGTTCATGCTACTTCAGTTCGTGCATGAGCTACATGCATGCAGCGCATGCTCAGTCAGCAGCTTCACACTATGCCATTTTATGCGCATAGTGCTCCTAGTGCAGGATCACACGGGCGCATCAGGAATCAGCGGAAGTTGCGGTCGTTCCTTCCCCAAGGCAATGCACCTTCGAATATCTTCTATTGATCCACCGACACCAATTTTTCAGACTATATAAATTCCGTTTGTCATGCGGTTATGCGATTTTGGGCTTTCATATTCTTGCCACTGCTGGCGTTCCAACTGTCTACCGAACTGCAGGATGTGGTGGACTACTAACTAGGGGATGCTTAAACCAGGATTGACAGTAGTGCCACTGCCTTGCAACGCGTCTGCTTGTGTATAAGCTTAATAATGTTGCAGCATTTTTGCTGGCTTGTTTTGACAAGGAAAGGTTGCCCTGCAGTGTTCCACTGTTAGACGGACTTCCCCAGCCTCAACTGGCTAGGGCCTACAGTTTACTTACTACCGGAGCAGGCGTTTTGAAACAACTAGACAAAACATTGCATACATTTTGGCTGGCGTGGATTTCAGGCAGGCGCCATGCGTGTAACTGCCCTGTAGAAAGAAATGGTGAACACCATTTCTTGTGGCCATACGATAGTTCAGAAGGAATCCAGGTCAAACGACGCGAACTCAAATTCGACGTGGATTAGGTAGCGAATCTTGATTTGACGCTGTGAATGTTCGAACGCACAGACACATACGGCCAAAAGGATTGTAATATTTTTTATATTACTGTAACGGATAATTCACACGCAACCATCAACAAGCAGAAGCATCGAATACATATATATGCACTATATATATATATATATATATATATATATATATATATATATATATATATATATATATATATATANTATATATATATATATATATATACAACGCGTTGTTTAGCTCAGAACTCGCAACAAGAGAAAGGCGAAGGTGGGCGATGCTACTGCAGCTCACTGGGTCGTAAACAACGTATTCGTTGTACATTAGGGCTGCTTCAGGATTCCCAGGCGTGTTGGCCTTGAGCTGTACAATCCACATGCACAATCTTTTCTCAATCAAAATGCACCCCAAATCCTAGACCCTAACCCCCCAATCCGCTAAGCCCTAAGCCATACATCAAAAACCGTCTATTTGCACCCCTAAGGCAGATTAGTTCATGCTCAGATTTGTTAAACGCCTCTTTTCAAGCTTCAGTTCTAGCTCTCCCCGAAAACAAATTCATCAGTGCAGCCTAGCCTACGGCTAAAGCAGTGCCGACAGAGATGTGGATGGGAGATTAATTTGAAACCCGTTTTGTGCAGTTTGTGATAATTGCCGCCTACCTCATCTACGGCCTTTGAGTTGTTCCAGCTCTTTCCTCCACAGACGCGCACCGGCTTTCCGTCAATGACTGAAGGAATCTCAAAGTCAGAGTCAGGATTCGGGCACATGCGGCCCACACCGTGCACACTGTCTTGCCCTGCAACAAACGCAAACGCCGACGGATATTCGAGCAAGATTCGCGCCTAGTCTGCAATGCAGAGAATACACGCGGCACCATGAAAAGATGCGTCTTGTCCAGCAACAACGGCTTGCTTACCATCACTTCTGCACTTGGCAGCCGCTTCGTAGTCTGCCCCAAGGAGCGGACGTTGCTTCCCCAGTGCCGCCTCACAGAGGACTAGGAGGCCATGAGGTTGAGCAGACGAGGCAAAACAGTACTGGGACGACTTGCTGACCTGCATCGCAGCAGTGTGTGGGGTCGCAGCATTGCACCTCACCCAATACTGCACAGACGGAGCCAACCAACCGGTTGTATGCCGCCGGCAATGATGTGCCTTCCAGCGTGAGCTTTTCGGCAATAGTGTCCGACCACTTGCGTACCGCTTAAACGGTGTGAAACAACCGCGCCAGCGGCTGCTTTTCTCTTTTAGTGTATTATGCGATCCTAAAAGTTATTCCAAGTAAAACTGGAAGTTTATTACTTTTCGCAGTCGGTGTTCTATTATTGCTGCTCTTAAGGGATATCCGTTCACTTACTCGTATAGTCAGCTACTTAAGAGTTACAGGTTGGCGGCCAACTCCTAAACTCACCATATCAGCAAAGTAGATCCCCTTGTCAAACATGTATCCAGAAGATGGCGCCTCTGGCGGAGCAACTTGCAGACCTTTCGCGAGAATACTTGGCCAGTTTGTCTGAGCAGGACATGCCTCAGTCTCCACAGGGATTACTTAGCTGGTGAAGCTAAACAGCCCGAAAGACCCCAAACAAGGAATACCAGGAATGGCCTGACTACGTAGCCAAGAATCTGAATCTTTTCCAAAAAAACCTCAGAGCAAAGTTGCTCTTTCGCCAATCATATAATTTACTTTGCAGGCTTTTGCAGTGTTGGTGCAAGGCCCACAAAGAATACTGGGAAGGCAAGCGGCGTACCAGACGGGAACCGTGCCACAAGAGCATGCGGTTGTCCACCTCTTTGTTAAAACGTTCTGTTTCCCCTTGGCGATCGCATTTGAAGATGCTTTGGATCTTGAGCGTCCACGTGTTGTGGGTTGGTGCGTGCGTATCCTTCACAAGTCGCTCTATCAGTTTTCGCTCTTCGTGGCCCTCAGGCAGCGGCTGAATAAAGCCATCAGCACAGGTCGTCGTGCGTGTAGATGAACACAAGAAACGCGCTTGCAGCAGCTGACACGGGGTGAGAGCTCGCATCCTGAACAAAGTCGTCTCTGCGATGTAACTACAACGTATCGCTGCCAAACCCTAAGGAAGCGTAGATATGAACAGTCTCCTGCAGTTGGGCAACTCAAAGGCAATCCAGTACCTCCAGCTTGCAGCGCAGCTGCTCGTATTGGGCATCCAGCGGATGCTTGTCTCTGGCGTTCAGTAAAGCATCCGTCAACAAAGATTGCGCAATCGATATCTGCAAGAAGGAAAGACAGAGGTAGGATGGAAAGCTAGGGAGGATAAATTATCACGTGGTTGGCACCATCGAGTGAAGCAATCGAACATTTTTTATTTATTCTTTGATTGACATTTATATATATATATATATATATATATATATATATATATATATATATATATATATATATATATATATATAGTGCAAAGTGCCTCTGTCGCACCTCTAACAACTGTTCCATCATTTCGATCTTCGTCCTCAGCTTCGCCAGTGAATCGAGGACTGGAGGCTTTTCGGCGTGCGTAAACTGCAGGACAACCACAAACACCAACAAGGATGCTTGGCACATAAGGCATTGAAGCTTGGCCCCATCGCGCTTCCCTGCAGGTATCTGGATAGCTACAAGTAAGGACGCAGGACCACATAGAAGGCCCAGATAGACCTGCCCTCAATCGGCGAATCATGCGCTTACGATGTGAGGTATTTTGATGTAAAACCGGTTCGTTGCATCGGCTAGCCGGGTCCTGTTCGCACAAGGAGAAGGCAGTTTAATTTCTGACTGAATTCACGTCATGTTCAGCTTCTAATTGTATAGAACTGCAGCGTTGTACACAGGACAACGAAAGGCTGCATGTGAGCTCACTGATGTTTAAGAGTGTTAATATGCTCTGCATCCTCGCGAAGGAGATTTTGGATTTCCTGAAAAGGCGCAACCATCAGGTACACAGCAACGACCTGTCTTCATCCCCGGGTACAAAGTGGCATTCGCAAAGTCTCTTGAGGAGCGAGCTAGTAGTTGTTTATGGGCGTGGCAATACCTGAAGCACTGCATAGCCTTCCTGCAGCTGCCGTTTGGAAATGGAATCGATCGGGAGTTTTTGAAGGTTGAGGTGCTGCTCAGTGAGCAACTTCTCCGCAAGTTTGCCTGCGGAGCAACCGGGTCCACCCAATGACCTCCAAACAACTCAGTGTATTGCCACCAGCGAAAACCTGTCCTACGCTGAGTAGGCTAAGGCAGATGTGCCCACATATCAGGCACAAACGACATACGGTCAAAAATGAGTTCCACGACGGTCTTCACCGCTGGAGGCAGAGTGCACTCAGCCACGGTGCTGCTGGCGCTGCATCAGAAACGCAACAATGATATATAAGCATATGAGCAGACATGTGTGGATACCGGGAGACAAAACAGTGAGCAACAGTGGCAAAAGCCGATGCAGTAGCATCTAATTACCTGGCAGCTTCAAGCTTAGCACGCTTTAGCTTCGGCTCTTGCTCTGCCCCATCATCCATATCATAGCCGGCGAGTTCCACAAAGCCATACCTGCGCAGGCATTGTAAAAGCGCGGATGCCACAACATAGGATCATGCCTATGCTCAGCTCCTGATATAAACACAGTCCAGCAACTGCCACGCTTGTTGCTGCTCGTACACTACCTGCCAGTTCGTATGAGGAAACTCCTCCACATAAAGTGTACGATGCATGGGTAGAAAAGCCCACCTGCCAGGCTGCTGAACGAAGTTGAAACGGTCACTCCACTGGGTGCCTGTCAGCCCCATGAACTTCGACTCAAATGCATCTGTACACACAACACAGAAATAAAACAAATCCGTAACTTCCCCTTAACGTTAACACCAAGTGACAGAGGACGACCATACTTCTGCAAGACAACGCTGGGGACAAAGACGCTGAGCGAGACGTCAACTTACCAACTGCGGCGTCCACGTCCTGGCCAAACGACTGCTGCCTGAAGCCCACAGTATGTGACAAACGGGAAAGATAGTAAGCAAGCTGAACCAAGTTTATATCCTTGGTTCTATGCTATGCTAAATGTCACGGATGCCGGACCTTGCCGCAAGTCATGCAAGTACTGCTGGCGAACACCAAAAGAACGCTTAGTGGTTGAACGTGATGCACAGTTTGGGTCTTACTTGTAATCGTTAGTTAATTTGTCATCAGCACCAAGCCGCCCCCACTTCGTGAAGAAGTGATATGTCTTGTTAGTTTGCACGATCTGCATGGAGTAGTACTTGTTGATGCCTGAGCACATCAAAACGCAAAGGCAACAACAACTGCTCCTCTACCGGGCACTAGACAAATGTATTATCAAGCAGTCAGACGACCAGCTACCTGCCTGACAGGCGCTTACCTGTGCTGATGTCAGTAAATTGCGTGCAGCAATTAAAGGCATTTCCATAACTGTCCACGTAGATTTTGCCTCCCTTGTTACTGAATAAGGGATCCACCTACAGCACCAATGCACAAGCAAACAAAACTCCCACGTAATTCGTATATAAAGCACTCACGGCAGCGCACAAACAAGCAACAGACGACAGTTGCAGGCACTTTATGTCTGACCCCCCCCACTTTGTCTATCTCCCCTTTAAAGGGCACATTTTGGTTGCAAACAAAATGCACTCTGTAGGGGAGGTAAACAGACTGCCTACAATTTGCCAGCAGTTGGCGATGCCCTAGCCCGTTAACCTTGTTCCATGGCACGAGGGACACGCGAGCCGTACCTGCAGAAGTGGAGAGTTCTTTGCGATGGGCGGTCGCTTTGTTCGCGAGTTGTCCTTTGCGCGAAACTCGCGAAGTTGCTTAAGAGCCTCTGCTGCGCTTGGTAACTCCAGTGTGATTTTTCCCTCCACGAGGTAATACTGTGCGTACTTCCTTTTGCGTAAAAGCAATCCCTGATGCAGAACACTCAAGACAGACCCTTCCTTCTCGCACAGCCGGCGCGGATTCAACTTATCTCCCCAAAGCTAACAAAGAGTAGAACCGCTCTAAAACGACTTGGAGAACCGACAGCTGCGCTCACCATGGGGCGAGGGTCTGGGCCGTCATCTGGACCCTTCCATTTGCGACACTCTGCCAACTTCAGTTTTGGTTCAACATTCTTTCGCCGGATTAAAGCCTTCACGAATGAGCTCTGAGCGCAAAAAGTCACTTAAAACTCGTCAATAGGAGCGATGCATAGCAGCCAAGACTCATGAAATAGATAAAAAGGAACCTGTACAGAAGATTCTCTTTTCTTAGTCGTACAGTACGATACTCTCATGTATCCTGTTCGCAAACGAGAGCGAATTTACTCAGTGGAAGCATCGTCACCTTAGGAGAATATCACCTCCAATCCGGTCGCGACATCACAAGCGTTCCGGTTAGGAAGATGAAGTACTGTGTGCGATTTTCCATTCCAAGTGACTCACGTGCACAATGGGGACTCCCGCATTCTTTGCATCACGGTATTTCTTCGTGAATTCGTGACTGTCGCCGTCCCCAACCAACAAGAAAGTGGTGCGGCCTTCTGGTTGCTCGCTGGAAGTGGACAGCGCAGGACAGCACGACACACTAGGACTACCACAATCGCAACAGTAGCCAGCGAAGTTGAAGCAGCAATACTTCCAGAACGCAGGTTTGCAGCAGCACTTAGCATTAAGTGACATCCTGCACCTGCTACCCCCGAGAAGTTCATAACTGAGGTTCAGCCTCCACAGCGAACAGCAGCTACTGGCGAGAGCTGAAAGCTGAGTAGCATCTAAAATGGCAGTTAGGTGCTGTCTCACGTGTATTCGCCGGCATGTTTCTCGATCAAGATTTGCAGTTCCGCTCTGAAGCCACAATCAAGCCGGACAGGCACAGTCCACGCAGAACAAAGCGATATGCAGTCTACAAACAGCAATGCCAAGAAGGCGCTGGAATTCAGTTTCGGAAGCCGTCAATCTCATAAAGCAAAGTGCTGGACTCGGAAGAACCAACAAGTCCTACAGCCACAGGGGCATAGCTGCTCCTCAGGAAGTAGGCAGGCCACAGTTGCAGCGCTGCAGCATTCTCACTTTGGGGGATCAGTAGCGCCTACTGATGTAAAGCTAAGCCCCACAAGCTCCTTGCCAGGAGGGATGACTTCAGGTTCGTCCGAGGCTTTCTCGATTTTGGGACTGCACGTAGAACAAGCCAACACTCATGTGATCCTAAACACTAAACCCTAATCAGTGAACCATAAACCCTTTTATTCCACACGCATGGCCAGTCGTGTGGTGTGACACAACTCTCCAGGGTTAGATAAGAGTGCTGTTTTCTAACGCGACAGCACTACATTCGCTGAAAACCATTCGAGAGAACTTCTTGTTAAAATCAGCAGTGACGGATGGAGCCTTACGCCTTCGGAGAGGGCGCGCCTGCAGCAGCACCAACCCTCACACGAACATAAAAATAGAATGCAATAAAATAAAAAATAAAAGTATACACTAACAATAATACTATATGCACCACCACCTGAGCAAGCTCTTCGCAGCAGTTTCCAGACTGTGAGATGCCTCTGGGTAGTGTTTTGACGGACTTAGTGGATTGCCAAGCTCCATACAGCCCTCCACACCTTCAGGGCACTTCCACTTCTTGAACACTGGAATTCTCTTTGCCTCATCCTGTTCACCCGGCAACAAATACGGGCATGCACACAAGAACTGCAAGTGCATTCACAGTTGCTCTTCTTCAATGCGTACGACTGTTGCAGGTGATACGCATTGTCTGGGGGCAGCGTTGCTGAGCCTTCGGAATGTTAACAACAGACACACCGGCAGCAGGAATAGCTCCTTTCGCTTGAGGTCTTCTAAAGTAACACCAGTAGCAGAGTTGTCGTAGACTTCATCGGGCCTCAAGATATCCGACACAATGAACGAGAAGACGCACTTTGTAGTGGCTGATACGTAGCCCTTGCAGCGGATTTCGCCTCCGTACTGCACC